GTCCACGTTTGTTTATGCCACAATAGATTAGGTTAGGACAGCGTAGCTACGACTTTTTTGCCGTACCCCGTTATTCGGGGGATTTCTAGGCTCTACATTGCCCTGCTGCTATACCCTGCTCTAGTAGTGGCCTCTGCACGTTGGTTTGTGATTGAAAACATTTGGGTGTGTTACAATAGGTAGGGTTAGGAGAGGATAGCTTTGACTTTTATGTTTATACACAGCTATTCGGGGGAGTTCGGCGCTCTACATCACTCTACTATACTCTGCTCGACTCTCGGGATCCGAGCAACCGTACGTTAGGTTGTGTTAGGCCACATTTCGTTGGGTCAGGTTATGTAATGTTAGGTTAGCATAACTTCGACCTTGCGGGGGCAAGGACCACCGCCCCAGAGTTGACGTCATCCCAGGCCGAGTCTTTGCAATGTCTCTGGAGACGTGTGGCGACCCGGTGTGAAGGCCGCTCGACAGCGGCGTCAAAACAGGTTGCTTCTCGCTATATTGCAAGAGTGCGAGAGTGGTGCTGATCCCCAGACCGGGGAAGCCGCCCGACTCTCCGAAAGCATACCTGCCGATATGCCCGCTGGACGCGGCGGGCAAGTTCTACGAGCGCGTTTTAGCTGCCCGTCTCCGAGGGCATTCAGCGGACGCGGATCCAGATATCAGCGTCAGCCAGAACGGATTCCGGCAGGGTCGGTCGACGATTGACGCGGCTAAGCGCGTTGATAACCTGTCGGACGCTGCCGTTGACCGGGGCGGTGCGGTGCTGGCGGTCCGCGTGGATATCGCCGACGCCATCAACACGCCAGCCGGTATGACCTGTTGCACCATAGGGATCCACAACACATGATGGAGGTGATCGGCGACTGTTTGGTGGAGCGCTCGATCGAGCATCCCGGACGGTACACGACCGTCGCGCGGGCGACGTACTATGGTGTTCCACAGGTATAGGTTCTCGGGCCGATCCTCCGGGCCGCGCGTGCGACGCCGTGTTGCGCACTCCGCTCCGCCACGGCCTGAGCTTGATATGTTACGCGGACGATATGCTCGTGATTGCCAAAGGGTCGGATTGGGAGGAGGTCACGCTGAGCGCGGAAAGCGGCGTAGCCCTCGCGCCGAACAAGTTCTGGCGTATGGGGCTGAGCATCTCGCCCGAGAAGACCGAGGCAATATGGTTTTGCCGTCTGTCCTGGTGGAAGCGGCCCCAGGCACGTGTGCGCGTGGGTAGCGTCGTGTTCGATTTTCGGGACCGGATGGAATATCTCAGTCTCCTCCTGGATGGCCACTGGAGGATCGGCAAGCATCTCCACGCGCTGGAACCACGCCTGCAAGGGATGACGGTGGCGCTGTTTAGCCTGCTCCCCATCCTGAATGGGCCAGACGGGACGGTGCGCCGCCTCTTGACGGGAGTCGTTCTCTCGGTGGCCCTTTACTTGGCTCCGATCTGGGCGAACGACCTGGTCGCTGGTCCGCGCAGTCGGACGTTCCTCCGGAGTGTCGCTCACAGGATGGCGAACGTGATCGTGCGCGGCTGCCGCACAATTTCCCACGAAGCGGCGATGGTCCAAGCTGGTGATCCGCCGCTCCAACCGCCAGCGGCGAGGGAGGCCCGTATCTACGGAATCCTCCACCTGGGCGGCGACGGTGCTCCAGAAGATGGGGCCGCTTCCTTGAGGCGAACGGTCCGCCTGTCCGTGAAGACTGCATGGCGAGCTCGGCTGAGGAATGAGAGCAGCCGTCGGCACCGGCTGGTCGGGATTGTGCTCCCAGTGCTGGATGCATGGGCGCGCAGCGGCAGTCGGCACACTTTCCGTCTGACACATGTGCTAACCTGGTAAGGGTGCTTCGGGGAGCGCTTGTGCCGTGTCAGGCGGGAAAGTGAGACGCGGTGTCATCACTCAGGGGAAGGGCGGTACACGGCGCATCACACGCTGGAGGGATTTCCGGCATGGGCTAGCGCGCGCCTGATACTATGTCGCGTGGTTGGTCGGGAACTCGCTCTCTCCGTCTTCGTTGTGCAAATGACGGAGGGCTTAGGTGCGTAGCTTGCGGTGGCCTCCACCTGCGAGACGGTTATGTTACAGAAGGAGGCCGTGGAGAGATCCCGCTAGCTTTCCGCCTGCTCCTCGCGCGTAGGGCGTTGGAGGCTACGAGCGCAGCGACTCTTGGCTCCGCGCGTACTGTCTGATGAATTAACGTGTTGGCCCGCCGCCTTCCCGAGCGTCGCTGCAGCTACATCCGTGCGGGCCGTTTCTCTCTCCCGTTGTAACCTATTTGAGGGTGACCAAGGGCAGACGGGTGGGGGCCCGTCTGTTCGAGAGAACGTGGTACGGGCGCACGGCGCCGCGTGGCGGTCGCGCGGCGTCCGCAGTGTATGCTTGTGACGCGGTACGGTGGTATGCGTGGTTTTTGTGCCTGCATACGAACCGTCTCGCGCGCTTGGGCACGGATGGATCGGGTGCGATTTCTCGTCGCGCCGGGAGGGAACTACGGTTGCGTCGCGGGGGCGTCCTAGCAGTTGCGATGCCGCGAAGTCTACGGAGCGCCGAAATGTGAAGGGCTGGCTATCGTGATGGTTTTAGTCGTTAAAAGTCCCACAAAGCACAGCACCCTCCCACAGGGCGCCGGTTATATATGGAAGACTTTCCCCACGTGAAAAAAATGATAGCTTCTACCTTTTTGCTGCACACTCAGGAATAGTGGTATAGGCACGAGAGGTTGAGTTATGTTACGTTTGGTATTGTTATGTTTGGTTAGGTTAGGCTAGGGTAGCTTTGACTTTTGAGCTGTACACTGTTATTGCTATGCTTTCCCGTTCTATGGACCTCAGCGCACAATGCTCCTAAAAGATGCCCTGCATGGCGGCATGGAGGCCAGCAATATTTGTCACGGAAGGTTAGGCTCTGATATGGTAAGTTTGGTTAGGTTAAATCAGCTTTGGTTAGGTTTGGAACGCTTCGAGTTTTCTGCTATACCCTGCGTTTCTATAGATTTCTGCTCACTCCTCTCCTCTATTATGCTCTGCATGGCACTGTGGAGGACAGCAGTACTGGTCGCGTCACGTTGAGTTTAGTTAGTATGCGTCTGATTATGTTAGGTTATATAGGATTAGGTTAGGGTAGCTTTGACAAATGTGCTCAACACTGGTATACCATGGGCTTCTGTGTTCTACTTAGCTGTTTCGTATCCTGCTTGGCTCTGGTGAAGCCAGGAATAGTGGTCATGGCACTAGGTAGGATAGGTTGTGTTATGCTGCACTTGTTAATGCTACGGTTGGTTAGGGTAGGATATGGTAGCTTCGAGTTTTGTGTTATACACTGCTATTCCGAGGACTTCTACGCTATACATTGCTCTACTGCACCCTGCGCGGATCTGGGTATGCCAGTAATAGTGGTTTCGGCACGTTAGCTTGAGCTAGGGTACGTTTCGTTGGGCTATGTCGGTTTGGCTGTGGTTTGGATAGCTCTGGGGAGGTCAGCAGTAGTGGCCTCTGCACGCAATGTTGAGTAAGATTATGCATGTCTTGGCTAGGTTCGGACAGGTTTGGTTAGTGTAGCTATGACTCCTTTGTATTACACTGCTGTTCGGTTGATATCTGTGCGCTGCATTGCTCAACTAGCATCTGCTTGCCTATGGGAAGGCCAGAAAGAGCGGCCGTGGCAGTTTTTTTTAGGATATGCAACGCTTTGTTAGGCTACTCGAGGCTAAGTTTGGTTAGAATGGCTTTGACGATTGTGCTATACACTGCTATTCGGTCGATAACTGCGCTCTGCATTTCTCTACTGGCATCTGCTTGCCTCTGGGGAGGCCAGAACTATCGGACGTTTCACGTATGGTTCAGCTAGGTTACGATTGGCTTCGTCAGGTTTGGTCATGTTTTGTAAGCGTGTCTCCGACTTTTGGGCTATTTGTGCAGCGCTCTGCTCTGTTCAAGTATATTCTGCTTGGCCATGGTGACGCCAGAAGTATTGTCCTTGGCTCGTAAGTCCAAGTTATGCTGCGTTTGGTTGAGCTACGTTTGGTTAGGTTCGGATAGAATAGCTTAGACTTTACTGCTATACACTGGTGTTCGGCGGATTTCCGCGCTCCACAATGCTCTACTACTCTCAGCTCGGTTCCCGTGAGACCAGCAAAATCGGTCGCGGCACGTTAGGTTTTGTTAGATTACGCATGGTTGGATTAGGAAACGTTGTGATAGATTAGAATATCTTTGGCTTTTGTAATACACATTGCTATTTTTTGGATTTCTGCGATCTACTGTGCTCTAGTGTATTCTGCTTCGTCATGGGGATGCAATCAGTATTGGTCTCGACACGTTAGTCTAAGTTATACGTTTGGCAGTGTTATGCTTCGTTATGTTTGGATAGGGTAGCTTTGACTTTTCCGCTGCACACTGCTCTTCGGCGGATTTCTGTGCTTTACTGTGATATAATATGCCCTGCCTTGCTCTGGGAATTCCAAAAATAGTGGCCGCGGCGCGTTGGGTTTTGTTAGGTTACGTTAGTTTGTGATAGGTTTGGATATCTTTGACTTTGGAACTGTATGCTACGGTTATGTGGGCCTCTGCGCTCCAGTCTCCTATAATGTGCCCTTCTTGACGATGGCGAGGCCAACAGTAGTGGGTTAGGCACGTTAGGTTCGGATTGTTTATGATTGGTTATGTTAGGTTAGGATATCTTCCCCTCCTCTGCTTTACACTTCAATGCGGTGGATTTCTGCCCTCTACTTAGCTCTAGTGTATCCAGCTTGTCTATGTGGAGGGCAGCGGTATTGGACTCGGCACGATAGTCTGCATTAGGAAACGTTCATTTGTTCTACGTTTGGCTAGGTTAGAATACTGTTGCTTAGCTTCTTGTGCTATACACGGCTGGCCGAAGGAATTCTGTGCTCTACATTGGCCTACTACGCTCTGCCCGGCTCTCGGGATGCCAGAAATAGTGGTCTAGGCACGTAAGGATGGGTTATATTACGTTTGGCTGTGTTGGGTTACGTCGTGTTGGGTTATGGTAGCTTTGACATTTGTGCTACACACTGCTCTCCTATGGACTCCTACGTTCATATGTACATTATCGCACTCTGCTTGGCCGTGTGGACGACAGGAACAGCGCTCTCTGCACGTTAGGTTGAGTTGTGTTGCGTTCGGTTTGGTTAGGTTTGGTTTGGCTTGGGCAGGAGAGCTTTGACGGTTGTGCTATACACTTACATTCGGACGATTTCAGCGTTCTACATTGCTATTCTATCCTCTGCTTAGCTATCGTGAGGCTAGCAATAGCGTTCGGGGCACGTCAGTTTGGGTAATGCTACGTCTGCTTACGTTACGATTGGACAGCTTAGGACAGGATGGCTTTGACTTTTGCGCTATACACTGCTATCCGGTGGATTTCTACGTTCTGCTGTGATTTAATATTCTCTGCTTTGCTCTGGGATTTTCAGTAGTAGTGGCCGCGGCGCGTTACATTTGTTTTCGTTACGTTCGGATATGTTACGTTTGTATGGACTAAGAAGGGATATGTTTTACCTTCGTGCTATACATTATCGTGCTATGGACCTCTGCGCTCTACTCTCCTCTAATATGGCAATAGTGGTGTTTGCTCTTTTGGTTGAGTTGGGTTACGTCTGTTTAGGTCAGGTTCGGTTACGTTTGGTCGGAATGGCTTTGACTTTTGTGGTACACACTGCTGTTCGGTGGATTTCTGCGCTCTACTGTACCCTAATATGTTCAGCTTGGCTCTGCGGAGGCCAGCAATAGAGGTCTCGGCACGTTACGTTCAGTTATTCTACGTTCGGTTAGGTTCGCTTAGGCCTGGTTTGGTTAAGATAGCTTTGACTTTTGTGCTGTAAACTGCTATTCCTTGCATTTATGCAGTCTACTGCGATCTAATATTCTCTGCTTGGCTATGGGGATGGCCATCAGTAGTGGTCTAGATTCGTTGTACAGAGATATGTTTCGTTTGGTCATGTTACGTTTGGTATGTTTGGGATAGATTAGCACTGCCTTTTGTGCTATACACTGGTATACAGCGGATTTCTGCGCGCTGTACCCTAATGAATTCTGCTTGGCTCTGAGGAGGCCAGCAACTGCGATCCCGACAAGTCAGTTTGAGTTATGTTACGCTTGGTAATGTTAGGTCAGGCTACGTTTGGTTCGCGTGGATTTGACCTTTGTGCTATACACTGCTATTCGGAGGATTTCTGTGCCTCTCACTACAAAGCGGATTTCTGCGCGCTGTACCCTAATGAATTCTGCTTGGCTCTGAGGAGGCCAGAAACTGCGGTCCCATCTGGTCAGTTTGAGTTATGTTACGCTTGGTAATGTTAGGTCAGGCTACGTTTGGTTCGCGTGGATTTGACCTTTGTGCTATACACTGCTATTCGGAGGATTTCTGTGCCTCTCACTACACTACTAAACTCTACTCCACTCCGGAGAGGAGAGCAATGTCGGTCGTGGCACGATGGGTTGAGCTAGATTACGCTTGGTCGGATTGGTTATGTTGGGTTTGGATAAGATGGCTTTGACTTCTGCGCTGTAAGCTGCTATGCGGTGGATTTATGCGTTCTCGTGTGCTCTGGCATTTTCTGCTTTGCTCTGGGGAGGCCAACAATTGAGGTATCGGCCCGTTACGTTTAGTTAGTCTATGTTTGGTTAGGTTAGGCTAGGTCACGCTAGGTTATGTCAGGATATCTTCGACTTTCGTGCTGTTCCCTGCATGGCGGTGGGTATAGGCGCACTACTGTGCTCTAGTACAATCTGCCTGTCCCCGTGGGGGTCAGAAATAGTTGTCTAGTCTTGTTAGTTTGTTGAGGTTACGTTTGGATGTGTTACGTTTGGATAGGCTAG